CCCCAAAACCCCAAAACCCCAAAACCCCTGGATTAGGCAGATAATGAAAGGGTTTAAATTTAGATATAAAATAATAAATTATTCTAAATATGAACTCATTGTATAAAATTCGACAACAGAAGAAAATGGAGAAGATAAGAGATCAGGTTAATAATACCTCATTTGGCCCAAAAGGTATCATTTTTGGGATGGGATTTTTCTGAGGTGTTTAGGGTATTTAACGATAAAGCAGGAGATAGCAAAACAGCACAAAATTGATAGCTCACGCTTGAGAAGATACCAGTGGATTGAGAAGGTGAGGACTAGTAAAAATCTTCAAAAATTGTTACATGTAAAAAGTAAGGACCATTAGAACCATTTGCTATTTGGGATGTTCCTAATAAGTTTCAGGTGCGAAATATAACATCTCAAGAAAGGAATCTCATTCTCTATCACATCCAAAAGGGAAAAAGAAGTTAGGTCCTCTCAAGAAGGTTTCAACTGTGTCTTTTAAAAGTCCTAGCTCTGTTGATCCTTTTCAAAGATCTGTTGATTTCCAAAAACGAGAAAAATCATGGAAGGAGCCTAAATTAAATACAAGAAAGTCTCTGGTGCTTTCAGGCACAAAATTCTTTGCTGTAGCAAAGGAAAGTATGGAGATTGAAGACCAGGATACTCCTGGTGGCTTACAAAATTCAATGATTCCTAAGAATGGAAAGGAATTAATGAGTCTTAAGATGCCCTTAGGCGTTGATAACTCTCCTATAAGTCCTGGTAAGCTTGGCATAATACCCTCCTAATCCTTAGGTAAAATTTCTGTTCGTGAGAGTTTTTCAATAGTAAAGCCTGGATTACCAAAAATGCCTGTGATTTCTGAGCAGGCTTATCAAGAAGCAGAAGATTCCTGCTCGGATATAGCTTCTACTAAGAAATATAAGCGGGCTAAGAGTATTTCGAAAGCCAATATTAAGAAATTTCCAAGTAATTCCTGTTTGATTATACTAGACTTTTAATAAAACAGTGAAGAGAAAGGAAGGGGCTACCAGCAGATCGATCATGATCGAAACAGACAACCTTCTAGATAATACAGGAACAGATAGAGTAACCTTACAATCTATCTATACAGACTGCGAACTATGACTCTTTAAGAGAGTTTCATAATAGGACTATATCTCAGCAAGATTTAAAGCCAGTAGAGTAAGTCAAATTCTAACCCTCTAGAAAAGGATATTCTGAGTCGGTTCTAAAGGCATTTAAGCACTTACAAGATCCACCAGTTATGCCTAGCTACCTCAAAACGAAACTGTATGATCAATTATCTCACCTTCTAGAAAACTGAGGCACAATTTGATGTCAATGTTGAACAAGGATTCCTTCGATGTAAGCTTTGGCTCACCTATAGAGCTCCATGAAAAATCCTACGCAAGCGTCTCTACTGAGTGTCTCTGAGATCCAGGACAAGATTGAGCATGCTCAGAAGCAAAAGCTTATAGAATATGTGAGCAAGAAGAAACTGTACATGAAATCAATGCTGCACTGTGATTAGTCAAGTTAGTTCAACCTGGCTGGGATCTAGGGGTTTTGGGGTTTTGGGGTTTTGGGG